TCCCTGACACAGCCATGGAGGTGGGATGCCAGACACAGTGTCCAAAGACTTGGGAATGACCCCACTTCATGACCATCTGACCCCTCCTTTCTACCCAGAAAGGAAGAAGTACAGTGAGCTGATGCCATAGCTCATGTGGGCTCGGCCTAGAGGTGGCTCTGCCCTGCCTATAAAAGCGGGGGAGGGGCCAGGCGCGGTGGCTCACACCTGTAATCGCAGCACTTTGAGAGGCCGAGGTGGGTGAATCACGATTTCAGGAGTTCAAGACCAGCTTGGCCAACATGGTAAAACCTTGTCTCTTCTAAAACTACAAAAAACTAGCTGGGCGTGGTGGTGGTTGCCTGTAATCTCAGCTACTCAGGAGGCTGAGGCAGGAAAATCACTTGAACCCAAGAGGCGGAGGTTGCAGTGAGCTGAGATCATGCCACTGCACTCCAGCTTCATTGGCAGTGTGAGACTTCAACTCAAAAAAAAAAAGGGGGTCAGGGGAAGGCACCTTAAAATAAATGCCAGTGAAGCCAGGGAAGGTTGGCCCGTTATTACCCCTTTGATCTTCACAGGGAGGTGAGCTCTTCTTGCTGTATTAAAATTAAGAACCTCTGTGTATCGAGAGATACCGTCAACACAGTGAGAAGACCAGGCATACACCGGGAGGAGATTTTTATAACCTGTATTGCCTACAAAGGGTTAATTTTCGGTACAACAAAATCAAACAACATATCACTTAAGCATATATACAGTTGTATGAAACTAGTAGTGTTTAAAAAGCAATGGCATGTGAGGCAGGCATCACCTGAGGTCAGGAGTTCAAGACCAGCCTGGCAAACATGGCAAAACCCTCTCTCTACTAAAAAATACAAAAATTAGCCAAGCTTGGTACCTGTAATCCCAATTACTTGGTTGGCTGAGGCAGGGAGAATCACTTGAACCCAGGAGGTGGAGGTTGCAGTGAGCCGAAATGGCACTGCTGCGTTCCAGCCTGGGCAACAGATGAGACTCTCTGTCCAAAAAAAAAAAGGCAATGGTATGAATAATCTAAAATTCTGATCATTTTTCTCTGAGAAGCGAGGGGTGACAGGGAGAAGCAGAGGCCCCCAGTAAGTCACGTGCTCGCTCTTGCATCGGGGTGGAGGATTCATGGGTATCCATTGTTTTGTTAGGTTTTATAACCAGCGTGTATGTGACATACAATCTTTGGTGCATATCAAATCATTCGTTTTTAGAACACAGAAAGCAATCAGTTATTGTTACTACCTCCACTTGTACAGATGGGGAAACTGGGGCTCGGTGGGGTCGAACTAGCAGCAAACACACATGTTGAATGCTGGCTGTATGCCAGGCCCTTTCCATGGATCATCCGATGTAATTTGTCTGACGTTCCTCTGCATATGATAACTGTCATCATTGCAGCCGACCAAGCCTTAGTGAGACGGGAGAACTTCAAAGTCGCTCTCTAGTCACAGTTGGTGGTGACGGCAAGGCCTTCGCCTGTGGCATGCCCCGTCTCCCTCCTGCAGGCTCCGAGGCACACTGTGGGTGACAGCTCCACTTCGTGGGCCTCCCCTTGGGAGCAGGCATTGAGGCATCTAAGTCCACTTGCCCTGTGCCATCTCACTGCCTGGACACTGGCGGCTTCCCTGGGCTGTCCTGTACCCAGGTCACTGAGGTAGCAAAGAGAGGAAGGGAAATAGGTGGAACCAGAAGAGAACATAGATAACCCCAAAGATAAATTGATTTCAACTGCTCATTGTTAGGGCTTTCAGACTATAAAGAGGTGGCTCTTGGCCCGGCACAATGGCTCATGCCTGTAAGCCCAGCACTTTGGGAGGTCAAGGTAGAAGGATCATGAGGCCAAAAGATCAAGACCATCCTGGCCAACTTGGTGAAACCCTGTCTCTACTAAAAATACAAAAATTAGATGGGTGTGGTGGTGCGCACCTGTAGTCCCAGCTACTCTGGAGGCTGAGGCAGGAGAATGGCTTGAACTCAGGAGGCAGAAGGTGCAGTGAGCCGAGATTGCACCACTACACTCCAGCCTGGCGACAAAGTGAGACTCTGTCTCGAAAACAAAAGAAATGGCTCTTCCTATGACCTCAGCCCATCCTCAATCACCTGCCTGTGCCCACTTGGCTGACACCGCCAAATGGCTCTAGCACTGTTGTTGAACTTCTGATGTCCCCTGTACCTCAGCCTCGCTATTGCTTTGGTGTAAATGTCTCTGACACTGATGTTGAATACAATTCTAGGCTTTTGGAGCAGAAGTTTCCAGTTAAGCTTGGTGTCCCACCGAAGAGTTAAGGTCAACATACTGAGCCCCAGAGTGGTCCTCCCTCTCCCACCACCAACTACCCTACCCGGTCTCCCAAGAACGGTCTGTGGGGGCTCTTGTATTCTCTGTCTTGGTTCATGCCTGGGAAATTTCAGGGCATATGTTAAGGGGAAGCCCTAGGGAAACCAGAGCCTTCAAAACTGGGTAGAATAAATGGATGGAATGGAAGAATTTGCTGCTGTGAAATCGTCTTCAAATTCTTTTTAGGTTGGAAGTTTCTTACCCTGGCAAGCCAAGAAGTACATTTAGGTATTTGTTTATAACCACGTGCTACTGGGTGAAAGATTACAGGACAAGAACATTTGAAATGTATGTGTTAGAGATCTATGCCCATCAATTTCCATTGAAAATGATAGGAGGGTACGCTCATGATTTTCGTAGAAATGGATGGGACAGTAGGATTCTATTCACATATCCTGGTCAACATGGTGAAACCCCGTCTCTACTAAAAATACAAAAAATTAGCTGGGCATGGTGGTGTGTGCCTGTGATCCCAGCTACTCAGGAGGCTGAGGCAGGAGAATTGCCTGAACCCAGGAGGCGGAGGTTGCGGTGAGCTGAGATCGAGCCATTGCACTCCAGCCTGGGTAACAAGAGTGAAACTCCATCTAAAAAAAAAAAAAAGTTTGTTCCTGAGCACCTGGGGAAGGTGTCACCTCCAGGGTCTCCTTCCTGTGGCTCTTCTGCATGAGTCCTGCACCACCTCTTTTAACCTCAGGGAAAAGTCACTATTTTGTTTTTTAAAGTCAATCATCTTTAAAGCTTCTGCTTTTGAGTATACACTATGTGTTGATGTAGATTCTGGGATATAGAACAAACAGGCACAAACTAGTGTGGGTTAGGTGGGGGAGCCCTACTTCAGGAGGTGAACCTCAGAAGGCTGCCTGGGCCAGGGGTGTGTGCATGGTGGTGGGGAGTTGCAGCAGCTAACAACTGTGCCTTGGAAGAGCCTTTAATTGGCACAAGGAAATCTCTATATTTTCAGTGGGGGGAAAAAGGGATTTGGAAAGAAAATATATGCTGCAGGCAAAGAAAAAGACTAGAAAAAAATAACCAGCCAGGTGCAGTGGTGGGCACCTGTGGTCCTAGCTACTTGGGAGGCTGAGAGGGGATGTTTGCTTGAGCCCAGGAGTTCCAGGCTGCAGTGAGCCATGATCTGTGTCACTGCACTCCAGCCTGAGTGACAGAGTCAGACCCCATCTCTAAAACAAAAAAAAGAAAAGAAAATAGCCAAAATATTATTGGTTATTTCTCTATTTCCCAAAGTTTAGGAAAGAACATGTACTATTCTTAAAATCAGAAGAAGTCCTCTTTTCCATTACATCTTCAAAGGCTCTAAGACTTAGAATTCATCTTGATGAAGGCATGGTCATTGCACACATGGAGCTGGACCCTGTGGGTGAGGGGCTCCTGGGAGCCTCTGAGGGGGGTGCTGTGGGTGTCAAGTGGCCTTGAAGAGAGCCAACCCAGGATCGGGTGGCGAGATTCCCTGAGGCCCAGAGAAGCTGACTTTCTGATGCTACTAGAATCTGGGAAGAGTGTGGCCATGGCTGCCACTACCCGCTGCTTCCCTGTTCCATGCCAGGCCTCTCTCAGATGCCTACTCTGGGGGAGGCACTGTTGTTGGGGCAACTTGCTAGCTGCAGAGGGCAACCAGTAATAAAGGCAAATGCCAAGCATGAGGCAAGAGGGGAGACCCCTGGCTGGGACAGCTGGCATTGGGAGAGGCTTGTGGGAGCCCCTCACCCTTCTCCTTTTGGGGTGCTCTTGAGGAAGCTGGACTCTCCACCTCTGAAGACCCCTCTAGGAAACATAGATCCCAAATGCAAATGGAGATGAGCTAGCCAGCAAAATCCAAGACCCCAGGCCCCTCCATTACAGCCTAGGGTGTGGGCTTATGTGTTCCAGGTTGAAAGCTCATCGTTTGGTTCATCAGAAGTTATGTGCTGAGGTAGAATTATAAAAAGAGAAATAGACAGCTGGGAGAGTTGAAAAAGGCTCTGGAGTTCTCTTATAGAAACGTGCATCTTGGCCAGGAGTGGTGGCTCACGCCTGTAATCCCAGCACTTTGGGAGGTTGAGGCAGGTGGATCACTTGAGGTCAGGAGTTTGAGATCAGCCTGGCCAACATGGCAAAACCGCATCTCTATTAAAAATAAAAAACTTACCTGGGCATGATGGCACACACCTTTAGTCCCAGCTACTTGGGAAGCTGAGGTGGAAGAATCGCTTGAACCCAGGAAGCAGAGGTTGCAGTGAGCCAAGATTGCACCACTGTACTCCCGCCTGGGTGACAGAGTGAGATTCTGTCTCAAAAATAAATAAATAAATAAATAATAATGGATCTTGTTTATTAAAATTAAAAAAAAAGAAATGCGCATTTTTAGATGGCTGCAGGACCTCATGGCATGGAGGGAAACTGAACCCTGCCTTTGGGAAATCACTTGGTTTCTTTTGTTGCCCTGCCCTGAGTTGTCATTTTAATTCTTTTTTTTTTTTTTTTAATTTTTTATTGGATTTTAGGTTTTGGGGTACATGAGCAGAGCATGTAAGACAGTTGCGTAGGAACACACATGGCAGTGTGCTTTTCTTTCCTTCTCCCCTTCACCCACATTTGGCATTTCTCCCCAGGCTATCCCTCCCCACCTCCCCCTCCCACTGGCCCTCCCCTTTTCCCCCCAATAGACCCCAGTGTTTAGTACTCCCCTCTCTGTGTCCATGTGTTCTCATTTTTCATCACCCACCTATGAGTGAGAATATGCGGTGTTTCATTTTCTGTTCTTGTGTCAGTTTGCTGAGGATGACATTCTCCAGATTCATCCATGTCCCTACAAACGACACAATTGTCATTTTAATTCTTTCACATCAGCCAGCGTGGAGAAGAGGAGCAGTTTTGCAGAGTGACTGGGAACAGCCCCTGCTGGGAGGGACTCCGCGCTGAGGCGTCCTTGTCTGAGCCGCCTGGCCTCGGGCGGACGCCGACATGGAGCCTCCTCTGTGCTTTCAGGCATCCGCATGCTGGACGGTGACGTCACAGATGTGGTCGAGGCAAAGTCGCTGGGCATCAGACCCAACTACATCGACATTTACAGTGCCAGCTGGGGGCCGGACGACGACGGGAAGACGGTGGACGGGCCCGGCCGACTGGCTAAGCAGGCTTTCGAGTATGGCATTAAAAAGGTGTGAGTAACCCGGGGGTACAGGGGCGTGCTCTGGGGCAAGGGTGACAGTACACATTTTTAACAATTAAATATCAGAGTGACACTGGCCACGGCCCTGAAACAAGACCGGCAAGAATCGGCTGTACCAGGGGCCAGGTGCCAGGCCAGTGTGGGGGAGTCACTTGGGGAGTCTGAGAAGTGGCTGTTTACCAACAAGAGCAGAAGTGTTTTGCCTTGTTCCACTGTTCCAGCGACAGCCAGCTGGGCCCTGCGAGCACGGCCCTCTCTGCCTTGGAGTTTGCCTGTCCCTGGCTGAGCGTGGTGCACGGGCGGGTGACAGGGGTGAGTCGGCTCACCTGGCCTGGCCTGTTACTTGCACTGTGCAGGTGGACAGGGGTTCGGGGCCTTGGCCCACCCCCTTTAGAAACACCCAGCTCTGGAACTTTCTTCATTCACTGTGGGGTATGCGCTCACCCAGGCCCCACCGCAGCAGGAAGTGGTCTGGGTGTTTCCCACAGCCCACAGCCCAGCCCAGTTAGAATTTCTCCAGTAGAACCTTACCAGGGGCTCAGCAGAGCAAAGACGTGAGGGGCTGCTTCTCTGCCAACAGGCCGAGGGGAGGCTGGCAGGTCCCTTCGAGGCCACCGCCAGCCACTCTGCGGTGTTTGGTTCCAGATCCTTGTGGGTCAGGAAGGCTGAGGAAGGGGAAGGGGGTGGCTGGAGATGAGCCAGTTCTTATAAGCAGCGTGGCTAGGCAGATTTCTGGGTGAGGACAGCTTCTGGGAGCAGGCAGACAGAGCTGTGATCAGCGCCCAGGAGGCCCAGCAGGCCCCAGCCCAAAGTACAATGTGTGGTCAGTGACTGCTGCGGGGGGATGGGGGTAGGGGGCAGTTCCAGCAGGAAATCCAGGCTGCGCTGACTTTTCCTGTGGGGGATGGGAGAATGGGGAGGGGATGGCAGGAGTCAAGTCCATTTTATGATTTATATCATTTAAGATATTTTTAAAGTTCTCATCATATTATAACCCATACATAGTAATTACAGTGTGGCTAATAAACAGCTAAGTCAATCAGACAGTATGAAGGGATGTATCGCAAACAGCCTTTCTCTGTCTCTCTCTGCCCGCCCCTGAGTCCTACCCCACAAAGGAGGAGTGTGTTTTTAAACTGTTCCTGATTTCCTTTCTCAACGTAGTATCATTTGATTGATTCCGTGGGTACATTGAGTTTGGTCATTATCCATTCATTTCCTCTTACGGGGATGAGCATTTTTCCTCAGGAGGCCCCCAGCCCTGCTGCCCTGCTGAAACCCTGGAGTTTCCTGCACTTCTTCCCCTTCCTGGGCATCAGGCCCACACTGCATCCTCCACCTCCTGCCAGCTGCACCCGGCTGCACCTCCTCCTAAAGATGTGGTGTCACCCTCCAGGAGAGAGGTGGAAGCTTCCTCCTCTGCTACCCCCAACCCCCACCCACTCAGGGCTTGAATGCCTGAGAAACCGATGACCAAATACGGGGTGTCCACCCCTGTGTCCCTCAGAGTTTAGTACTCACCCCGACAGTCAGTGGGAGAAGGAAGGTTAAGGAAGAGGGGCAGTGTAGACACACATGCACACTCAGAGCATGGGAGCATGTGTGTATCCTTGGGGCTCTGGACAGCTTCCTTTCTCTCCATCACTCCAAGAAAACACCAAGGCGGCTTCAATCGGGTTGCTGAGTGCCCGCGCCAGGCCCGAGGCTGGGCCGAGTGAGTGCTGGCAGACTCAGACATGACCAAGTCAGCCGCTGCCCACCAAGAGCTGCCGAATACATAAATCACGTCTTTCCATTACTCGGCTCCCGGCTCCAACCCAGCAGATCGCTTGGATCTTCGTCTTGATGACAAGCGAGACATCCTAAAAATTAAGCTGAATTTAAGCTTGAGAGAGGGTGGGTAAGTTGAAGACGGCATTTCCTGCGTGGAACATATTGCTTTGGAGGGTGTTACTGCTGAGCGTCTGTCATTTCCACGGGATGATTTCCAAAGACTGAGCTCCTAGGATGAGGCAGCCTCTCTCCAGGAGGGGTCCTGGTTGTTTGGCCGTGATCGTTGGGGCTCTCCGCTTCAGGGAGCCTGTGTGAGGCTTGGGGAGGCTGGGGCTGCAGAGGGGTCTTTGCGTTCTGAATTCTGAGCAGTGTTGGCCTCGTCCAGCTGTCAGGGGATCGGGGACATTGCAGAGGGAACCATGTGGTTCCCCCTCATTCTTGTCACAGTTTCTTGAAATACTGAGGTCATTTGATTTTTTTTCATCGTTTGGAAGTAAAATATGTCATGCAGAGAGCCTTAAATCGCAACTGTCTCAACCTGTCACTGAAAATCCCCCTAGAAATTTGATGATCTCAAACCAAACCACGTCCCCCCATCTGTTCCTGCTCGTGGCCCTGTTTGTCACCCACAGTCTTCTGTAGAATCTGACTTCATCTTTGGTAGATGATGTGGTCTGATGGTGGGGGACTTTGGAAGCTGTGATTTGACACAGAGAGCTGTTTAATGTCGGTGCTTAGGAAGCCTTGCTCCTCTCACGGCTGGTTATTCAGAAGCCGTGATTAGACATTGCTGAGGCTGACGACACTGGCCGTGTCCAGGTGGTCGACATCTGCCAGTCCTCAGCAGCAGTGCTTCCAAGGTCATGGATGAACTCCTCCTCTCCAGGGAAGACACTCAGATATGATTTGATTGGGTTGAATTGTGAGTTTATGGTAAAGAAGTTCAAGTTGATGGCGAGGGTTGAAATGTCCCCTACAGCTTCTGTCCTGCGGCTCTCATGAAGCCACCGGAAGATGTGGGAAGTGAAAATAAAGTCGTCAGAGAGTTAAAGCATCTTTACACTCTCAGATCTGGCTGTTTCCTCATCTCATTTCCATGTTCTCCTTCCGGGACACCATTTTAAGAAGGGGAAAAGGTTGTTGATATGTTGACGCCTAGGAGGACAGGTTGGTCTCAGTAAACGCACAGCACATGCTGTAAAGGCAAACCTTGAGCATTTCAGGCTTTTGGTATTCAAAGAGGGGTCCAGAGCCAGCAGCACTGGCGTCACCTGGGAGCTCATTAGGGATGCAGACTCTCAGGCCCACCCTGGACTTTGGGGAGCAAATCTACATTGTATCAGGGTTCCCAGGGGACTCCTGTATGTGCGCATTCCAGTTTGGGGAGTGCTGTTTTTGGCCATTCTCTCTGCTCCTGGATCAATAAGGTTGCATGCTCCACCGTGCAAAAGGACCACATTTTAGGAATCATTTCAAGCGGGGTGGGGATTTAGGAGTGGCAGGGTCTGGGGCTAATTCTCAACTGGAATAAGGACATTTGCACTGTAGTTCCTTTAAACCTGCTTGAGCTGAATCTGCCCTTGCAGATAATCACACACACACACACACACACATACACACTCACACACACACACACACCCTTCCTCAACACTTTGTACCTTTCTCTCAGAAGGTTAGCTTTTCTGGTAGTGACCTTTCTGTTGAGCTCTTGGCCACCCAGACAGGTTCGCCCTGCAGTTGCAGAAAGCAGAGTGGACGAGGCAGCTTTAAGCAGCAGGACAGCTGTGGGCTCTCTTGGGAGCCTCAGGTTGGAGCTGGAGTCTCCTTGGTTTACAGAGCCCCATGGCGTGGGCTTACAGAGCAGGTGGGTCCACTCATCAAAAGACTGACTGGTGCTCCAAGGGTGAGTGTGACACATTTGGTCAGCAGCAGGCTTCAATCTGGCTCTACAGGGACTGCAGAGTTGGGGTGTCAGTTATCTTTAAAGTGGCCAATTACTGAGCATAAGTATCAATCGGTTTCCTCCATGTGTTTGGAAAGGAGGATCCTCTGTAAGGTTGTGGTGGCCAGCCAGTGGCTCCAGTTTCCTGTGGAGGTGGAGGTTGGCCCTGCTCTCAGGCCGGCTGTGCACCACCAGCCCACCCAGCCTCTGGACTATATTGGTCAGTTCTGTCTCCCACTTAGTAATCTTTAGCTGGTGTTTGTGGCTGGAACGATTCTTGGTGTGGTCAGAAATCATACATCCTGTGGGTGTGGGACAGAGCAGAGCTTCAGGAATGAGCCTTGACCGGCCGGTGTCTTTCAAAGACTTGCTTTCACGTGTACATTCTTAACAATGAAAACCAGCGCACAGCTGGGCGTGGCCGCGCACTTTCGTAATCCCAGCGAGTCTGAAGGCTGAGGTGGGAGGATCGCCTGAGCCTGCGGGGTTCCAGACCAGCCTGGGTAATGTAGCAAGACCCCTGTCTCAACAACAACAACAACAAATGAGAGCAAGAAAGAAAACCTACATATAAATGAGTCCCTGGCCTTGGCTTGCAGTATGAATCTGACCACTCCAATACACACAGCGGAGCTCACAGGGAGCTCTGACAGGATGCCCATAAGCTGCTACCAGCTCCTGGACATAACCGTTTTCACCTATTCTGTCTTCACCCAGAGTGCATGGTCCTATCCCTCTTTGCAGAGTTAGCTCCCTCTGCAAGAAGGGCATGTCTTCAGATATGTTTTCCAGAAATCTCAGTCTCTTCCCCTCTAGACCAGCTCTTTCAACCCAGAAAAATTAAAGCTACAAATTCCATCATTATCTGTAATCTGAGTGTTCCTGGCAGCGCTGCGAGGTCTCTGATCAGAGGCCATTATTGTGGAAATGATAGGCGTGACTCTGGAATAGAACAGCTTGTGCTGGGACCCTGGATTTTCCGGCAGAGAACAGAGAAGTCTTTCTGGCCCTTTCCCTCGTAGGATCCTGTGATTCTGCAGTTTTAAGGCTGCTACCACAGGCAAAAGTACACCATTAACATCAAATGAGAGCCCCCAAACCGTGCGCTCAGCAGCTTCCAGATGGTCTGCATGCGTCCTTCTTATCCCTTGGAAGGAAATTCAGGTTGGGGGTGAGACCCGCCCTACAAGGTTCTGGCTGTAGGGCTAAGCCTTGTTCCTTTTGTTCCCTCCAGGGCCGGCAGGGCCTGGGCTCCATTTTTGTCTGGGCATCGGGGAACGGCGGGAGAGAGGGGGACTACTGCTCGTGTGACGGCTACACCAACAGCATCTACACCATCTCCGTCAGCAGCGCCACCGAGAACGGGTACAAGCCCTGGTACCTGGAGGAGTGTGCCTCCACACTGGCTGCCACCTACAGCAGCGGGGCCTTTTATGAGCGGAAAATCGTAAGTCCTCCCGGCAAGTCGGGGTGCTTGTCCTGTGTGCCTCGGCCCCTGGGAATGAGTTTCTTCTCCCCTTCTCAGAAAGATGGGTTAGATTGGGGCCAGATTGTTCTGGATCTCAGGGTCCCAGCCTCACCCATCGGCGAACAATTTGAGCCTCGAGGAAAACCCTAGCCCCTTGGCAGCCTTCCCTGGATGCTGGCTTTCTAATCTTTGCACAGAAATAGCAATTAAAGCCCTCTCTGGCTTTAGAGATCTAAAAATATCATTTAAGAATGAGGTTCCTTCTCACGAGGTCTTGTTTTAAGTCTGAAATTCTGTGGTCACATCACTTGGAATCCAATTGACTAATCTAGTTCCAGCACATACAATACTGTAAGAAAAAGATAGTTTTATACTGAGACATTCTAGAAATCCAGGCATTCTTCTAGGCATCCTGTTGCTACAGAAGCACTTCTGGACACTTTTAAGTCGAGCAGTGGTTTCTGTCTGTTCTGCTCACTTAAGTGAACATAAGTGTGATTTATCTTTTAAAAGGTAACTGTTTTAGTACTTGGGTTGAATTTATGCTTTTTCTTTCCCTACATACCTTCCTACTTAAAGAAAAAAAAAGAGGAAGGGAGGGTTTCCAGTCCAAATTAATGCAGAATTGAAATGCACAGTCATTAAGTTGACTTGCAGACATTTTAAAAATGAGACCGTGGAGCTGGCCAGACATGGTTCAATTTTAAAGCTCACCAGCATCTTTTCATTTCTCTGGCTGCCCAGCCACATCTTTAGAAGTTATTCGCGAATTTATTTTTACACTTTTCTGTGGGAACATACATGCTTCCTGTTCTCTGCTTTGCTCTGCACCAGTGAAAGGTCAGCTGCCATCACTCCGTCGCCAGCCCGGTAGCGGCTTGCGCTGGTTAACTAAGGTATTAATTTGTTATTTTCCTTTTCTGCCAGAGTACGTACCCCTGGGACGGGCAGCTGAGCTGCTGAATGGTGTCCTGTTTGTGTAGAAATCCAGCTCACTGGAGCACGGACTTGCTGGGGTCTTATTAGACAGACACACAGTCTTGGCTGGGCGAATGGATGCGATTTTGGATTTGCGAAGCCCTGGGACGCTTTATAACATGGGCTGTGTGCAGGCAGGGTGGTGTCTCTCAGCCCTGGAAGCAGGACTCGCAGCTTTCTTTATGTGATGAACCACTCCAGCATGTGTGTTTGTGTGGTATGCATGTGTGTGTGCCTTGGCTATAAAACGCTTTACTTTTCTTTCTTCCTTTTTTTTTTTTAAATTCTCTTTTCTGAGCAATAGTATGTGGGTAAGAAGGGCATAGTCAGGGGAGGGGTAAAAGAGACAGTGTACTCCGTCTTGGTCGCTGTCTGGGAAGTCTGCTCTGACGGTATGAGTGGCGTTACTTTCAGCTCTGGTACAGCCCAGTGTCTGCCCTGCGTCCTCTTAGACCGCCCAGGGAGACACGTGCTGCTCGGGGCCGTCGACGGGTCAGTCTCAGCATTCAGTCAGGTCTATGATGGCAGTCACGGCCCTGTCCCCTGCATTCTCTGTCCCTCTAAGTCTGGAGACTGCCACCAGTGTCCACCTGGTGCGAGGGATGCCCCATGCTGAGACGTGACCCTTTATAGAGGAGCAGAACCTAAAGAAAGCATCTCTCACCCGAACAGGAGGGTATGTGCGTTCACTGAACACGAGCTGTGTCCCAGGTGCCGCACTAGGACTTAGGAGGGGTCTGTCCACCTTGGTTCAGCTGTCCCTCCCAGGGTGGGCCCCTCTGCTCACTCCCCAGGCCCCCTTCTCTGAAGCTGGAGAGCCAGCTGTGAGCCTCACATGCTCTTGGGAGTTGGCCTCCTGCCCAACCACCCCTAGTTTCTCCTCCTGGCTGCCATTTACCAAGCACAAGTATTTTTCAGGTGCCTTGCTGTCATCTGCCCAGAACCCCTGAAGTCTACATCATGGTGTCCATTTGCATACGAAGATGCTGGGGTCAGAGAGGGGTATTCTTGTCCCTTTTCCCGTGCCCTCAGCTGCCCTTCCCATGTTGAGGTACCCCAGCCCCACTAAAACGGGCAGGGAGGAAGCTGGTTTCTGTTGGCAATCTCTCAAATCCTGTGCGTGTGACACAGGCCAGACCTCCTTCTCTGGACAATTGTTGGCTCAGCTAAAACTTGTGCAAGTTTGGAAGGTGCTGAGTTTGGAAGAGGATCTGGATTGCTCTCACTGTGAAATGGATTCTCAAAGGTTAGGCAAATCTGCTACCGGAGCCCTGCGGTGGGTGGGTGGGTTTGTGACTTTCCTACTCCTGCCATGAGAAATTATCACAAATTTAGCAGCTTAAAACAGTACAGATCGATATCTCATGGTCCTGTAGGCCGGAAGTCCAGGAGCCTCACTGTCTCTGTTTGAG